CACTAATCCCATTTATGAGGGCCTTGCCCTCATCATTTAATTGCATTCCAAAGGCCCCACCTCCAATTCAACATATGATTTCAACATATGATTTTGATGGAGGGGGCACAAACATTCAGACCATAGTATCTACGCACATCACAATTAGGGGTCAAGGACTGTGTAAGCGGTTTTCTGGCAAAATAATTATCAATATTTGACAATTATTTCTCCTGAAATATTTTAAGACAAACCCCACACATTGTATCATTTTACCCATAAATACTCCAGTATGTAATTCTGATAGGTAAGAGCCTTAAAAAAGTAACTGTAATGCCATTTTCACATCTAAGATTTAGCAATCTTAAAATGAAATTCATTCCACCATTAAATCTCTCTTATTGTTGGCTTGTTTGATGTACAGTCAAGCTGGATCTGGCACTGGGCTGGTTGATCTCTCTCTGAGGTTGCTTGTAATAATTAGCAGCTCTGTCTCAGATCCTCTCTCTCTCTTATGCTATTTGTCCTGTAGAACTTCCTCAGTGTTCATTAGGCTGCTGACATCCTCACTAGGGAATGGCACTTCCCACGGTCCTCTATAGTCAGATATCTGCAAACTATTATAGAAGCCAGGAGGGAGAACTGCTGAGGTCACTGTAGCATTTGGAGGTGGGGATGCCATGTCTGGGCTGTGTTTGAGGTCACCCTGACAATGTGTTACAGTGAAGTGCGGGGTGGATTGGGATCCATCCAAAATGAGAGCTTTTGAGCCGGGGCTAGGGGAGGAGCAGACAGGTGGCAGAGTAGTGGGTACAGAGCACAGGGGCCAGAGGGGAGATATGGTAACAACAACAATTCCTAGCATCTATTGAGTGCTTACTGTATACCAGACTCTGTACATGTGATCTCTTACCTCAATATGCTAGATAATAACATTACCCCAGGCCTGGAGAGGACAGGTGATTTACTTACACAGTTAGTTCATAATGCAGAAAGAACTAAAACCCAAAGCCTATGTCCTTAGCTACTATGTATATCAAAGAAATGAAGCCTCTGGGGTAAGTATGCAGGTAGAAAAAGTATACAATATTGAAGTGAGTGAGGCCATGCATCCCAAGACCACTTACATCAGCATCCTATAGGAGCTGCTTTAAACAAAAGCAGGCTCCTGGGCCCCACCCAAGACCTACAGGATTCCAGGGTGTGTGACCTGGGAATCTCAGTATGAAGCACCTCAGAATTTTCAGACCAAGTTTGAGAAACTCTGGAGTGAAGAATCAGACCAGCTTTAGCAGAGGGGAAAAGAGGGTTGACAAATTAAAGTGACTAGGAAGGAAAGGACTTTTCACAGTGCCTCATATGTAGTTAGCATTTTATAAGTGCCACAGACTGAATGTTTGTGTTCCCGCCAAATTTGTATGTTAAATCTTAACTGCCCAGGTGATGGTATTAGGAGGTGAGAACTTTGGGAGGTGATTAGGCCATAAGGGGGAGTGGAGCCTGCATTAATGGGATTAGTGCTCTTATAAAAGAGACCCCAGAGAGCTCCTTCACCCCTTCCATCCTGTGAGAACACCTCAAGAAGGTGCCACCTGTGAACCAGGAAGCCAGTCCTCACCAGACACCGAATCTGCCGGTGACTTGATCTTGGACATCCAGCCTCCTGAACTGTGAGAAATCCATTTCTGTTGGTTATAAGCCAAAATGTGGAAAAGGACAACTCACTATCCTTGCCTCTTTCCCACACTGCACACTTGTCTCAGTCACAGTTTTGGTACATCCACAAGCTAACTCCAGCAAAAATGAGTAAAAACAAAAGTCACTGGAGCGTCTTTGAATAGGAGGAATGACCCAATGATGAAAGCAGAAGACTCTAAGACTGCCAACAAAATGAAAGCTGCATTTAAAAGCAAATACCAAGAGCCCTACTTAAATTACAAGTTCATTGCAACAGGTGATTCACGTTCTCCAAGCTGCTTTGTATAATATGTAGTGACCAGCTCTTCAATGAAGCCATGAAACCTTCAAAACTGCTTCACTGCATGGAGACCAAGCACCCTGCATTAAAAGACATGCCTTTGGAGTTTTTCACATAAACAGAAATAATTATTGAAGGCCAGCACTTCATCAAACGTGTCTGCACTGAGAGATCATTCTTAGTGACTACCTGCATTGCTAAAGCTAAGAGCCCCTTTACTATTGGTGAAGAGTTGATCCTGCCTGCTGCTAAAGACACTTGTCATAAACTTTTAGGAGAGACTGAAGCTCAAAAGGTGGCAGGAGTTTCTCTTTCAGCTAGCACTATTATAACTAGATGAATTGATCAAATAGCACAGGATACTGAGGCACAGTTGTTAGAAAGGATTAATGAGTCGCTGTGGTATGCAAACCAGGTTGACAAGTCTACCGATATTAACTTCAAGGCAATAATGCTTGTTTGTGTGCCATATATTTTTCAGGAGGATGTGCACGAGGATATGTTATGTACACTTTTGTTGCCAACCAACACCACAGCTTCAGAACTATTCAAGTCCTTGAATGATTACATATCAGGAAAACTAAATTGGTCATTTTGTGTTGGCATATGCATGGATGGAGTGACTGCCATGATTGGGCGGCTTTCTGGTTTCACTACTCGGGTCAAGGAGGTTGCCTCTGAATGTGAGTCTACGCACTGTGTCATCCATAGAGAAATGCTGGGTAGCAGAAAAATGTCACCTGAACTAAACAGTGTTTTGCAAGATGTGATTAAAATTATCGACCACATTAAAGTACATGTACTTAACTTATGTCTGTTCGCACAGCTCTGTAAGAAGATGGATGCAGAGCATACACATTTTCTTTTGTATACAGACGTGGGGTGGCTTTCTAAAGGTAGAGCACTGGCCAGAGTTTTTGAGTTATGAGAGCCGCTCCAGAGATGTCTTTTAGAAAAACAATCACCACGGGCAGCACCTTTCAGTGACACAGAATAGATTTGCAAAACTTGCTTATTTGTATGACATATTCAACCTGCTCGACGAACTCAATCTGTCACTTCAGGGGAGAATGACAGCTGTGTTCAAGTCAGCAGATAAAGTGGATACATTCAAAGCCATGCTGGAATTATGGGGGCAATGAGGGAACATTGGGATTTTTGACATGTTTCAAACATTAGCAGGGATTTTGAAAGAAACTGAGCCAGGGCCTTCTTTCTCCCAGCTGGTGCATGATCACCTATCTCAGCTTTCAAAAGAGCTTGAGCATTACCTCCCAACCACAAAAGACCTCCAAACTGAGAGGGAATGCATCCTCGACTCATTTGTGAATAAGCAGGTGAATGGACTCTGTCCGTTCTAGAAGAGGATCAACTGCTTGAGATCGCAAATGACAGTGGCCTTAACAGTATGTTTGAGACAACTTCAAATCTCCATGTGGTCTGGATTAAAGTCAAGCAGAATATCCTGAGATTGCCACAAACATACTGAAAAGCCTGCTTCTATTTCTATCAATCTATCTTTGTGAAGCAGGATTTTCTGCAGTGACAGCAACCGAAACAAGACTACATAAGAGTGGACATAAGCAACACACTTCGGGTTGTCACTGTCTCCCATCACCCCCAGATGGGACCCATCTAGTTGCTGAAAACAAGCTCAGGGCTCCCACTGATTCTGCATTATGATGAGTTGTATAATTATTTCATTATATATTACAATGTGATAATAATAGAAATAAAGTGCACGAAAATGTGATGCACTTGTACCATCGAGGAACTGTCCTGTCCTGGTCTGTGGAATAATTGTCTTCCATGAAACCAGTCTCTGGTGCCAAAAAGGTTGGGGACCGCTGTTCTAAATCAATTCAAACAGGGCATTGGCTTTTTATTTACTTTCATTTTTCTTCCTAATGATAAATTTCTTGTCCTCGGGCAAAAGCAAATACATGCCTAGTTGCTTTATTTAATCTTAGCTTGCATTCCACAGTTTCCTCCAGGGTTCATGAGCGCTTCCCCAACATAACTGGATGTGTGATGTTATCCTTCCATCTCTCCACAACTCGGGCAGCACCGTCATTTCACTCTCAGCCTCATTTCATACTTTTTTCCTCTGGTCTGCCACCAGAGCCTTTGCTAACTCAATGTTAAAAGACATCTTTCTCCTGCCTGCTGGATAATCCAAGTGCATTACATGGAGAGCTAATTATACAACAAGAAGGTATAAAAATGAGAACCTAGAAGAAGAAAAGAGGTAATCAGCTGAGTTCAGGGCAGATCTGGGATGGGAAAGGCGGAAAGTTAGCTCTTTTGCAGCTCAGGCCTAGAGAGAGTAATTAGGCGACCTGCTCCAAGTCAGTTGGAATAAGTTTGTTCTGGTTTTTTTGTTCCCTGCACCACACTGCCTTTTGTGTCCCCTGCATTTGAACAGGCCTGGTGCTGGGATGAAGTTCTGCTGTTCTCATCAGGCCTCAACTTCAGTATCACTGGAGTGTGCCCAGATTACAGGCCTGGTTTCTCAACGGCTTTTCTGTTGGAGTGGTTTGGATGCGATGGTTTCCTGGACTGCAGCTCTGAACCCAGACTGTGGAGTCTTTCAAAATATCACAAAACACAGCACTGCCAAAGGCACCGTTAGCACAGCTCAGGAATTAAGGAAATTCCAAAGGCCACTTTATATACCAGGCAGGAGCAAGGCCAGGAGCTATCGCCAGGAGGGAGTGAGATGGGGGAGGAGGGGGTGTAAAATTAGCGCCAAGTGAGGCTGGGGCATGGGGAGAGAGTGGGAGCCAGGGACAGACCTGAGCGCTGAGATCCGGTAAGTGGTCCCAGTGCATGGCCAAGGCAGGGAGCTGGGGGGCGGGGGGAGTGTCGTCCTTTTCCCTGCTCCTGGATGCCTTCAGCCCTTCCCTGGGTCGCTGGAACCCAGCTTTAGCAGTGGGCAGCGCCGGCCACGTGGCGCCCCGCTGCTGGGTTCTCAGGAGGGGCCGTTGCGCGTCAGGAGCATCTCTAGCCTTGGAGACTGGGGCCCAGGCCCCCGAAGGTTGGGCGCGGGAGTGCGAGCTCCGTGGCACTCGCCTGGCCTGCAGCCCATTGGCCCGACGCCCACCCGCCGGGTCCCGCCCCAGCTGCGACGGAGGAATAACTCCCCGCAGCAGTGCCTGCCCGCCTGCGCCCCTCTCCCGCGCTCAGTCCCCCTGCAGCCGCTCGCTGTGCGCCCCGTCGCCCTCCTGCCCACCTGCCGTCACCATGGCCGCCTCCTCCGCTCGGCCCGCAGTCCTGGCGCTGACCGGGCTGGCGCTGCTCCTGCTGCTGTGCTTGGGCCCAGGTGAGTGGGGCGATGCAAGCTGAGAGCAGCGCCCGGCCTGAGGGTGGAGTTGGCCCAGCGCTGCGCTGCCAGGATACCCCGGGGGACAGAGAGTGGAGATGGGGTTGGGGAGCAGGGCCCGTCCTTAGCCTAAGCAGGGCCAAGGGGGTGACGGGACACAGGTCTAGGGTTTGCACTTGCACGAGTGTGAAGTGGTGCCCATGGGCGGGTGGAGAGAGGACCAAGGTCAAGGGGAGGGTCTCTGCTGGGTAACCCTTGGGAAGGGAGGGCCAGGGGTCCGAAGGGTGTGTTAGAAGTGTTTCTGGGCTTAATGTAAGTAATTGGCAGTGGGATGGGGGGCTTTAAGCAGGCGGTGACGCCTGGACTGAGGGGAGGCAAGTGGCACCATCACCATGACTGCCTTCCAGGCAGTGGCTGGGCAACAGAGAGGACGTTGCGCTTCCTGGCCGGGTTGACTTGCAGTTTGTGAAGCTGGGCGCAGGCCTCTCACCGCAGATAGGGAAAACGCTCTTAAAGGAATAATACTTCATCTTTCCTACTTCATGGAGTGCTCAGTGAATCTGTTCAAAACTCTGAAAATTCCCTGTTGGTTCTCTGTAAAAATGCATTCACACTCACACTCGGAATGAAGCAGTTTGGTGGGTGCCAGACCTCTGAATTTGGGGTCTACAGATCCCACCTGAGAAACGCCATCTGAAACTGTACGTTTGTGCTGAGTTACAGCCTTGGGCTGGTATGAACCTTTATGGTTCACGAGTGGCCTCATGGACACATGAGTGCTCTGAAGCTCACAACTCTGGGAGGCAGGCATTGTGACCCCTAAGGAATCGGGACTGGAAGGTGTGAAGTGACTTGCCCTGGAGCCTGAAACTGGTGCCTGTCCCACTGCATAGTAGCTGGGCACTGTCCAAAAAAAATGAACAACTCACTTGATTGCCTAGTTTCTGTATTTTGCTTATTCAAAACAGGTATGAAAGCCGAACTCCCCAGGTTGAGGGGAGGCAGAGTCAGGCAGTAGGAGCCCTGGGGTGGAACCCGGGGTTGCTAGAGCAGAGCAGCCCGGCTTGTCCAGATGGGGAGGATTACTGGTCTCAATTACAACCGCAAGTGAAGCTAATCAGTAACATCCCAGTGCATGAGTTACCTGCTTCCCCCTCAACCTTCCCCCCCATTTTAAGAAACACATCTGCATAAGTCCAGTGAGCACTGGTCACAGCCATTCATTCTCAGGACTTGAATTTTATTTAGTTCACACCAAGAACCTAGTGATAGGAGTCAGTTAAAACATTATCATCATCAGGCTAGAATGTGAAAGTTCTTATGACATAACATGAAAATCTTTGTAGAGTCCGAAAGATGGCTTTTTATGATACCAAAAAAAATTTAATGGAGAAAATGACCATGGCCCCTTGTTGATCAACTTATTAATATTTAACACCTTCAAGAGGGGCATTGTGCAATTCTAAATTTGCCAGATCAAATGCCAGGTAACTGGATTTAATAAATTTGGGCTTACTTATCATCATAGCCTAGAATTAATAACTGATGGTGTTGGGTAAAAAATCCATACTACAGGAAAAAAATTACAGCTATTCTATTGTTCTTTATCATTTTCTTCAAACAAATTTAGTGTTGTCCAGTTGTATGTATTAATATGTAATTCAGTGTGTAGTAACTGGCACAGTGGCAGCATTCATAATTCATAATTTGGGACTCATTTGTGCTTTTCAGTTGTCTAGGTGAGGTTTCGTGAGGCCCTCATTTCTGGAGTGGTAGTGACATACATTTGCTGCAAGAAATTGCAGCCTCATCACAAATGCTTAAATGTCTATTTCAACATCAGACCACATTTTGTTCATTAATTGTTAAGTACTTTTACAGAAGGCAAACAGATGGAGGGACCATACTTAATTCTGTATGTGCTACCATGTGAGCTGTTAGGGATCGACAAATGTTAAGATATTAATGAATGCTAATATTAGTGCCAAGGAACGGATCCGTCTGCCTTGGCAAATATTTTCAGAGATTTCTTCATTGACTCTTAAGGGTGGAAGGAAGGAAAGCACAGCCTTTAAGATGGCCCTTCCCCCATCTAACTAGGTAACCGCCCCTGCAGGAGCCTGGCCTAGTGTTCGTCTTTATTTATGCTTGGACGCCTTGGGGTTCCCTTCATCGGGAACCTCTTGGGGCCACTTGTTCCCTCTTTAGGTGGTTGCCCAAGTGTTGGAAACCTTACTTCATGCCCTAACCTATGACCCAGTGACCCCTTAGAGCCATAGCTCTCCTCCACAAGTTTCATTTCTCCAGGTTAAACACTTAAGTTCCTTTTAATTTTTCTCTCATATAACAAATGTCTAGGTCCCCTTGTTCGACTGCAACTCCAGTTTTTCTGTGACCTTCTTCACGTGAAATGTTGTGAACTGACCAGAACAGTAGAGGGGAGGTCTGCTCAGAGCAGTGACCGAACAGAGCAGGATAATGACTTCCTTCTTTCAATAGTCGTGATTAATGCAGCCTAAGGTTGCAGTTGCTTTTTAAACAACCACATCACTGTAGACTGACCTGAGCACAGACGATGATAACACAGCTCTCCCGCAGGGCGCCGTCCGTGAGCTCCCAGCCCTCCTGAGGATGTGAGGGAAGCCACCACCTCTGTCCCTCGCCCTAAGTGTGGTCCCTAGAGATTTCCCCAAGCCACTTCCATGCTATTAAACTTCTCAAGATAGGGTAGCCATTTAATTTATCATGCAGGCTGCAACACTTGAGAGCAAAACGAGGTACTCTCATTAATTTACCAGGACAATAGGTATACGCTGGGGCAGTCCCCTGGACAGGCAGAAAGTGTGGCCACCCTACCCAGGAATCCTGAGGGAGGCACTTATTGGGAAATAGGCTTAGTACATTCTAGCAGGTTCCCTATCCAATCCCAGTGACCGGGCCAGCAGGCTCCCTGGATGGCACAACCACCCTGCCTGCAGTCGGGCAGCAGTGGAATCCAAATGACTGCAGGGGCAGGCAGGTAGGCGAGGTGGTTGCTCGTGAACCCTGGGTGTGGTGAGGGACCCAGGCCCAGAGGAGTTCAAGTTCAAATTCTGTAAACACTGGGCATGCTAATAAAATGCATCCTCAGGTCGAGTCCAGCTATGGGCAACCAGTTTGTGACTCTTGGCTAGGATTCTTTTTCTCCCCATCTACCTAGTAAATTCTTTAAGCAGGGACTCTTTTTAATTTTGTTCCAGTTTTGCTGACGTTTTATTGACAACTAAAGCAAGAATTCTTAATCATATTTGGGTGACAGACAGTTTTGAGAGTCTGTCAAATGCTATGGCTCCTATTCCCAGAAAACTGTGCCTGTGTAGATTCAGACATAATTTCCGATACTTTCCAGACCCCCTGGAGCCTGTCCTTGGACGGGAACATTAAGAACCCAGGAAGAAAGTGGCCACCACCACCTCAATGCATTTCTCTATTCTGGGGCCAGACTCTAGTTCCTTATGCCTGAAGATGAACTTACGAAGCTGGGGTGTTTTCCCCAGGGGCTTTGGGTTCTCCCTCCCTGGGACAGGCCTTGTTCCTGTGTGCAGAGGCTTCTGGAGGTCTGCAGAGCAGTTCACTGGGTGCAGGGGGTGTTCCATTAGGCCAGACGTGTTATTTTCTATTAAAATGATTGAGTTGATTAGAAATACTTTTAAAACTGTATACCAGTCACAGCAAATGGTACAAACAATGCTCAATTATAGGGTGATCAGGGCAAGCTAGAAAACCAGGCTGACTTTTTAGAGCACTCAGGCAGATTCCTTGGTTGGTGCAGCCTGACTCCCGTTCCTGCCTGCCTGTGTCTTCACAGGGCTGCTGTCCCTAGCTCCTCTCCTCTTCCTGTTAGGACACCAGTCCCTGGATTTAAAGCCTACTATAAATCCAGCATGATGTCATGATGCGATCCTTAACAAAGTATATGTTTAAAGAGCCCATTTCCAAATAAGCTCACATTCAGAGGTTCCTGGTGGATATGAATATGGGGGAGGGGAGACACCATTCAACCCATTATACCATGAAGTAAAGGTTTGCAGGGATGTGGCGCATGGGACAGAGGCTAAAAGAACAATGTCACTTTTCCTAGGCACTAGTTCAAATTGTAATGCCCTTGATCAGCCATGGTCATTGTCACCAGTGTTAGCCCTGGGCAGGCTGAATTGTTTTTCCTGCACGATAGGGAATACTGCAAGCAGCAAATACTGCGAAACTGCCACGTTGCCAAATCAAGGCGGGGCGTGGACTTCTTTTTTATAACTCTGATTTTTGCATTTGATAACTTAAAGGGTACAGTGCAACTCTGAAACTGGTTTCAATTTTCATTTTTTTAGGTGGCATAAGTGGAAATAAACTCAAGCTAATGCTTCAAAAACGAGAAGGTAAATATACCCCAAGTGGATAAGGGATGCATTCTTAACTGGATGGAAATGAAATGGTAATATTCAGTGTGCTCACTGGAGTCTTGTATTTGGAAAATCAAAAGTGTTTATTCCTTAAAAGGTTAGCAGATCTGAGGGCTTATTCTGCGGGTAGGGGCTGTGGTATTTTATTAGATAAATATTATTGCCAGTAAATGTTTGAAGGTTGTTTTTCTGAAAGCTGTCCATGTGGACTCAAAAGAAACAGTGCTACAGTGTTAATTGAATGCTCTTTATTTTAGAACCATGAAGCACGTATCTAAATTTAGAGCATATCTTTCAGAGCATATAAAACCTCAGTTGGCGGGGTGGGCATGGGATGGCATTGTTGTGGTAGCCTATGTATCCAGTCAGCTACTGGGGAAGGGCATGGAAACAGGAAAAGCTTTTTATTACTAACCTCTGTTGTGAATAATGCTCCTGAGATAAATGTGGTAGACAGCAGCAAAATGTAGAAATTGAACAGTCTGAGAGTCACAAAATACAGGTTCTGGGCCCACTGTAGTCAGTTAGATCAGTGGGTCACTTGTGTGGTCTTGTGAATGTCATTTTCTGACTCCCAACTGTCATCTGCATCTGCACAACTAAGTATCCCTTAGAAATGATTCTAGCAGGCTGAAGCCCACTTGGCAAAGAGAAGCCCTGAGCATTTCTTCCAATACTTCCCTGGTGACTCCCAGAGACCCCTGCAGGTGACTAGAGCACAGGCAGCTCCGCTTGGGGGCAGGAGTTCTGGGGGGGCTCCCAGGAGCTTTCCCAGCACTTCAGACACCCACAAGATTCTGGTTTATCCCCATCCCCAAGGTGGCTCAGAGGTTCCCCCTCCCTGTGCTGGGTGGCTGCAGGAGCATCACCCTCAGCCGTTACTCAGTTCAAACCAAGAAACATATATTGAGCACCTACTGTATACAAAACAGTGTAACAAGCCCTAAAAGGTTTGTAAAGAGACAAACTCTGCTGATATTTATCCACGTGATCCACAGACACATCGGGCGAATTACTTCTATTATCCTGTGCATTCTTCCTAACACCACCAAGATAGGGACTGTCGGCCCAGTTTTATAGATGAAGGGACAGAACTCAGGACTAGACAGCAAGCGGGATGGCACAGCGGCTTCCCCTGAGCACACCCTGCAGAAGCAGTTCCCTTTAAACAACCGAGACAATGATGGAAGGACGTTAGAAGCAGCAGAGGTGGAGGGTCAGTACCCTTCGAGACCCAGTCGGATCCTCAGTGAGCCTGTGAGGCCCAGAGACTGGGGCTTGCAGGAGCGCCCAGTGCTGTGCTGCTAGGCGCTGTCTGCTCCCTGCCCGCTCCGGGCTCAGCACCAGTTCCCATCTGCACGTAGTCTCCTGAGCAGGCACGGCCCTCTCTGTGTGCGCAGACCGTGAACATGCACTGTGCACCTGTGTGGCACTGGTACCCGGCCTGTCTCCTGAACGCACAGCCCGAGGGGTGCGCCGCTAGCCGCTGGAGAGGCCTGGCGCTGGGCGTGGAGAGCGGGCTGCAGGCCACGAACTGTGTTTCCTTTCTGCCTGGAGAACCTAGAAGGTGAAGGTCAGGCCGTGTCCCTTTCTATGGCTGCTCCCAAAGAGGAGAGAGGTCAGTAGCAAGAAGCGTGGGGCTGCATCTCATCACACACACATGGGAAGTTGAGGGTCAAAGCCATTCTTGTATGTGGTGGGGGCGGGGTGTATAACAGTGATTCACCCCGATAAGAAATCATTCTTTGTGTGCCGGGACTTGGGGAATTGATGATTTCTTGCAGCACCTGCTCCAGCCAAGACTAAAGTGGCTATGGATGAGAACAAAGCCAAGGAATTCCTCGGCAGCCTGAAGCGCCAGAAGCGGCAGCTGTGGGACCGGACCCGGCCCGAGGTGCAGCAGTGGTACCAGCAGTTCCTCTACATGGGCTTCGACGAAGCGGTGGGTGGACGCCGGGGTCCCCGGGCGGGGTGGTGGGGACAGGGGCCTGGCTCGGGAAACACGTCACAGAAAAAGAGGGTTTGCTACTCATTCTATTATAATGAGCCCCATTATACAGCCAGCACTACCCAGCAGTGGATTGCATTGCCAGGAGTGTACACGGCAGCTGGAAGTTTCCACCAGGACGTGTTTGGGAGGCAGGATCCAAAAAAGTCAGGGGCCAAAATAGCTGGGACTTAGGTTCAGCGAGAATCTGATTTCCCTTGGAACACTTTTAACTTGGCTGAACAGTTTTGTGTGGGCATCTTTAAAATAACTCACAATCCTCCCTCCCCCAAAACCATTTCAGATTTACCTCAAAAAATGTCAGAAACACCACTATGCAAGGACATATGTGATATTGGGAAGAGATGAAAAGTGACTTTTAAAGAGAGACAGGTCTCTTTGAAGATGTTTTGGGGGAATTTCATCAGTGCACTGTGGGAAAGATGGCTTGCAGTTCGTGTGCCTAGATAGCATTCCAGTTCAGTACATTAAGGAAAAAGAGTTTATAATCACAGACTCCCAGCTCGGGTGCAGGTACAGGTAAGATAGCAGCAGGGTTGGAATCACGGGTCCTGGTGCAGAGGTGTCTTGTCTGCAGGGTGACGGACGAGCTGAGCTCTCTGTGTGAGACGTAGCGGGGAGAACCCACAGCCTGCCCACCCAGCCGGGGAGCAGATGGATTCTTCATAGGCAGCATCTCCAACTGGGGCAGCTGGAGGTGTTCTAAATGAGCAAATGATTCATATAGAGGGTGGATACAAAGTACTGCAATAGGTGAAAAAAATTAAACCCTTTAGACAGATCATTTTTAATGGCTGCCTGCAATGAGAGCATGTGGCTGTATCATAATTTCCTTCCCATTCCTAACCAATAGACATATTGGTTGTTCCCTGTGTGGTTTTTTTGCTTTACAGATATAATTTTTTGTTTGTTTGCTGCACAAATAGCTAACCACTTATAGCCAAACCCGGTGCCAGGCATGATTCTAAGTACTCTGAATATTCCCAACATCCCCAAAGGCAGGTACTATTATTTGCATCTTTGTGTGTAGCTTGTCTTTTACTTAGGAACACATTCTGCCGAGTGAAGTTCCTGGGGCAAGGGTACAATCACATTTAAGCATCTCTAAGTATTGTCAAATTGCACTCTCCCATAAGTCACATATGAGAGCACCAATTTTCTAGAATCTTCAGTAGCATCTGGTGTTCTCACTGAAAATTCAAAATATATATACATATTTGATAGATGAAAATGCTATATTATCTTTTAGTAATTTGCATTTCTTTGAGGACTATCATTAAAATGGGCATTAGGAGTTAACATGGGGAACTGGCTAAAATAATGTCTGGCTACCAAACCAGAATCCTGACCATCGACACATGGGAAGCCCAATCCAAATTCATCTTGTACCTTCACCACCACAAAAGAAAAATTAGTCTGTCCTTTAAAAAATGGATTAATAGCAAAGACCAATAGCCCAAGCTGGAAACTGAACTTCATTCTACACATCTTACTCAGCTTCAGTCCTCCTTCCCTTTTATTTTTATTAACTGCAACTGTCTCTCTGGATCTGTCTCTCAGGCACTGCAGGCTTCCTGAAGGCAGAGACTCTATTGTTCGGGGCAGTGCTCCAGTACCCACTTCATAGTGTTTGTGGAATGAATACATGCACCTGTGCACACTCTAACCAACATCACAGCTATGAGAAAGTCACCATCAGAAGTTCCCCAAATAATCTGCCCTGGAACTATGATAGGCCAGTGCAGTAGCTGATTTAATTCAGCCAACATTTATTAAACATCTACTATGTGCAACATAGAGGGCCAGGCACAGAATGGAACATAAGATGGTATCTACCACAGTGAGATGTCTGAAGGTCATGCCAATTGTCACTGTATTTGGCAGATGTTTGCTTTATTTACCAAGAAAGAGAAAAATGTTTAAATCCGGCATATATTTAGAATGAGTATGGCAAAAGTTTGCAAAGGTATAGTTATGTACTCCTTTGGGGGAAAATAGCTTTTATCAGCAGTATTCTTTAGCTGGTGGTGTTGACCTCTGAGCACAAGATACTATAACAAGGAGTTATTCTTAATAAGGGTTGTTAATCATTGAAGAAAAACCAGCATAGAGGAAAGCCATAGGTCAGATGTGGTCTTAGGAGAGTGTATCCTTGAATCATTCTCTATTTTCCTCCAGAAATTTGAAGATGACATCACCTATTGGCTTAACAGAGATCGAAATGGACACGAGTACTACGGTGATTACTACCAACGTCACTATGATGAAGACTCTGCAATTGGTCCCCGGAGCCCCTACTCCTTTAGGCACGGAGCCAGCGTCAACTACGATGACTACTAATTATGACATACCACACAGAGCACTAGAAACCAACAGTGATTTTCCTCATGTATCTCCTAATGGCTTACACTACTTGGTTTCTGTTTTGCTCTATTTCAGATCTTTTCCACCTACCTTGTGTGACCAGAGTGTTAAAACAAGGTATATAAATGCCTTTTGATATTTCATATGATATTTCATATCATACAGGTATCTAACAATGCATCTCAGTAAGAAATAGAAATAAAGCATTTTGTTAAAAATAAACATCTCAGAATTCATTTGGGTGCAAATTAAGCTGGCGACATTTCTCATTCCCTTGGTGTTCTGAAGCTGCATCTGAGAGGCCTCACTCCACTGTCGTCCCGATAGTTTTCACCACCATCTGGGAAGAACGGGGGGGGGGGGGGGGGGGAGGGGGGCTGAGCAGGAGGTCTTCAGTTTGTTAAAATGCAGTGTACGCCAAATGCACGACATGAAATCAGCAAGAAGATCTAGTTGCAAATGATGTGTGGTTACAGAACGTGGTTTGGAGGATTTGAATCATTCGACAGGGGTTCAAGGGCTTTCTGGGTTCCAGGCCCTGAGCTAGGGCTGGAGCTGTGTAATACTGTCATCTGGGAAATAAGTGGCAATAGAAAAGATCCTGGAGTTTGTTGATTTCAGAGCTACACTATTCTAAAAAATAAGACCTTGTTCAATGAATTCAAGAAATATTTAAGAATATACTTTGCATTGTATTTAAACAGCCTGAGTGAAGGAGAGAAAGAGAAGAGTGGTGTTGGGTGGGTAGAGGGAGGGGTGCAGGAGGGAGAAGGAAGTGGGAGGTTCTTGCAAGGTCTGCACAGTTGCCAATAGGAGAGGTCTGTCACGGCCCATGCACCTGCAAAGCTGCAAGGGGCAAGGGTGAGGGAGGTTTACAGCACAGGGGGGGGGGGGCGACTCAGAATGGCTCTTATATGTTCCTGGGTCACAGACCCCTCTGACAGTCGACAGTCCAATGAAAGTTTTTTGCTCTTTTCCTCAGCAAAATTACATTGGATTTTGCATATAGCTTCCAAAAACACATCCTCATGTGCAAATCCTAGGTGACAAATAACCCCGGGCCTGGTAGGAAGCACTGGATTCAGGATGGCACTGATTACAAGCAGCCATAAATAAAGGCCATTTTGTTTCTTATTGGGAATCCTTACAACTTAAAAAAATTTGTGGTGAAAGATACCTAAAATTTACCATTTTAACCATTTTCAGGTGTACAATTCAGTGGCATTAAATACATTCACATTGTTGTACAACCATCACCACCATCCATGTCCAGAACTTTTTCATCTTCCCAGATGGAAACTCTGTCCCCGTTAAACACTAACTCACCATCCCCCACACCCAGCCCCGGGCAGCCCCCATTCTACTTTCTGTCTTTATGAATCTGATGACTGTGGGGACCTCATGTAAGTAGAGTTGTACAGTATTTGTCCTTTTATTTCACTTAGCATACTGTCCTCAAGGTCGTTCCATGTTGTATAATAGTGTGGGTCAGAATATCCTTCCTTTTAAAAGCAGAATAATATTCCATTGCGTGTTTACACCACATTTGGCTTATCCATTCATCCGTTGATGAACACTTGGGCTACTTCTGCCTTTTGGCCTCTGTGAATAATATGAACATGGGTGTGTCAATATCTGTGTGTGTCCCTGCTTTCAATGCTCTTTGGAATTGTGAGATCGCATGTGAATTCTGTAAGTTTTTGAGGGCCCTCCATGCTGTGTTCTACAGCAGCAGCACCATTTCACATTCCCACCTACAACTTTTGTTTCTTTTCTTGACTGCTGAGGGCTGGCTCAGACCCTAATGCAATGTTAAAGAACATTCCTAATTTTGAAGGAAGTGCGTTCTGTGTTTCTCCTTCATGTTTGCTGGGTGCTTTTTGTTGATGTCCTTTTTCTAGTTCAGAGAATTCCCTTCTAAAAATATGCTAAGAAATGTTTTTAATGTCATAAAGTATTTGGATGTTGAATTCTATTTTTTCCTTTATTTATTGAGATAATATAAATTTCCCTTTTAAATCTGTTCATCTGGTGAATTATCTTAATCAAAATCTACTATCAATTAAATTGCTGGAATAAACCTAACTTGATCATAGTGTATCATCTTTTTTAGTTCATTGCTGGCTCTGGTTTGATACTATTTATTCAGAATTTTTGCATCCATGTTCATGAGTAAGATTGTTGTGTAGTTTTCTTCCTGCTTCTATTCTTGTCAGTTAGGGTGTCAGGGCTATGCTGGCTTCAAAACATCAGTTGAAAGTGTCATCTCTTCTATTCTCTGTGTAAGAATGAAATTATATAAATCCATTTGGGTGTAGTGTTTTCTTTATGGCGAAGATTTTGACTATTGATTGTATTTCTCTTACACTTAAGGGATTATTCTGATTTTGTGTTTCTCTCCAGTCTGTTAGTTGCTAAGTTCTCTCTCTCTCTCTAGGAAGTCATCCATTATATCAAAGTTCTGAAGTCTGTTGAGAGCTGTTCTTAATATGCTTTTATCTTTCTCTATAATGTCTATAGTTATGTTATTTTTCCAATTCCATTTCATTTGTGCCTTTTAAAAAAATGAATCGTGTCTTTTCAAATTTGCTATTTTTGCTTTGTTGATCTCTTCTTTTGTATCAGTTGAACTTCTGTTCTTTTAATTTCCTTCCTTCTACTTCTGTGGGTCTTTGATTTAATTTAATCTTAGCTCCACTTTCAGCTTCCTCAGTTTTCTTAAAGGCAAGCACTTCCTTCCAAGTACTGTATCCCATGTATTTGATGTAAAAAAAAAATTAGATGGTGAAATCTTTTAATTTCAATTTGATTATGTGTTATTATATTTCCAAGTGGGTGGACTTTTCTAATTATCCTACTGGCTTTGTTTTCTAACTTAATTGCATGGCGGTAAGAAATGTGGTCAGGTGGATCCGATCCTTGAAGTGTGTTGTAACCAGCTTCATGCTTGGGTGCATCAACCCAGCACGTGTTCCATGTGTGCTTGAAAGGAATGGGTCTTTTACAAATGTCAGATGCAGTCAAGCACATTAATTCAAGCTCCACAGTTTTACTGTTCGCGTTTTCGCTTTTCTTACTGATTTTTTTGTCTGTTTGATCTACCAATTACTAAGTGTGTTAAAATCTCCTACTGTGATGATGGACTTGACAGTTTTTCCCCTTTGTGTTGATCTGTCTTTATTTATTATGAAGCTATACACAAATTCATGTGGTACATATGAATTTAAAATCAATACATTTTCCCAGTAAATGAAATTATCATTATGTAGCAAATTTCCTTATTTCAAGTAAAGTTTTTTACCTGAATTCTCCTTTGATATTAATATGACTGTACTTGCCTCCTTTTGCTTAATATCTTCCTGGTCTACCTTCCATTGTTTGGCTTTTCATCTTTCTGTGTACTTTATGTGTGTGTTGTAATGAGTACACAGCTGAATTGTTTTCTTTCTAAAATATAATTGAAGCTTAAGCAGAAAATTTAGTCCACTTATACTTACTGTGATTAGTGATTTTATTTCTAACATCACATTTTGAACTTCTGATTTGTCCCATTTTACTTGTTCCTTTTCTCCTCTCTCCCTTCATGTGGACTGTTTTATTTTTTATTCTTCTTTCTGCAATGTTCTATTCAAGTATTCAAGTTTCAATTATACATTTCCTTCTTTATTTACAAGTATGCTTGGTTATATCTCTTATTCCCTACTTAGATTTCCAAGTTTCTCTTTTATTTATCTACATGTATAAGATGCTTTCATATTCTCATTGGTCCATTGAGGGACCATTCTCATTGGTCCCTACACCCAGGCGGAGCCTTTTGGGAGCTTACTTTGATGCAGTCTGACCTAAACGTTTTGTCATTTTCAACATCTAAAGTCTTTGACTCTCTGCCTGCCATCCACAGTGTCTCATCTCCTTGACTTGATGTAATTTCTAACCATGGCCTGTTCATTTTCTTTGAAACATTATTAAGAAACATTTAAAGCCTGAGTTAAATTGAATTCCTCCAGACAACACTTGCACTTTCTTTCGCTAGTGGCCTGGGGTCCAGTTGGGTCTATTGAACTGGGACCACTTTAAATTCTCTACTTCTGGATTCATAGACCACACAGGGACACCTTGTACTTACTATTGTCATCGGTGCTCCCTCCCCACCCACGTATTCACCCCTACCTACTGAACTATTAGTTGGAAAGAAACCTTCCTCACTGCTCCCTTCTGGTGATGTTTCTCACTGGTCCCTATGCCCAGGTGGAGCCTTTTGGGAGCTCAGGTTGATGCAGTCTGACCTAAACTTTATTATCTCCTATCCTGAGTTCTGTGCAGCCTTCAGTGTTTCTCAAACTGTACAGTATTCTGAAAACACTTTCAAACAATAGTTGGCTTTCCCTCCCTTTTGGGGTTCTGCAGAGTCCTTACTTTATCATCTAAGGAATGCATATATAAAGCCATATTCAGCATATCATTTTCTCCCGTTGGGAAATTTATTCACATTATCCAATCTGTCACACTACCAGAAAGAGAACTATTTGATTAATTATTTCAAATCAAACATTCTTTACCCTTTTGTCCCTAGACATCTCCTGTAACATTTTTAAATGTATAAAACAAACTACAAGGATTACAAAGGAAACCAATTATATTGAAAAAGTTACCAACATTTAAAAGACAGATTTATGATATAGTAATAAATATATTAATTAATATATTAATTAATATTAATTAATAGCCTATTAATATATTTATGCTATAAATAACAAGACCTAGTGGGAAGATATACAGATATTATAATTTGAAAGTACCAGAAGTACATGGTAATTTGAGATATCCATAATAACTATAATGTGATGATACCTGATTTCTGTGAGTGGCAAAGTCCCAGGTAAGAGCTAATACTATTGCGGTTTGTTGCCTACATTTATAATTAAAGGGAAGGCTAAACTGGAGAGTTGGGAGTTAGTAGAAATAAATAGGTTTATTTTCTCAAATTCATGAAATTTCTTATTTATAGGGATTCCCAGTCCAACTCCTATAATATATCCAGAGTAAAAGAATCCAATTCTTCTCAGGATAAAGATAACACAGTGGATGTGTCCCATGAGATCTGGCCTCTGCTGCCACTTCAGCCTCCTCTGCCCTCAGTCTGTCCCCTGTGCTCTGCGCTTCAGGCAGCCCTGTAGACTAAAGCCCGGGAAGGGCTCACACCCACCTTTGCTTACTACTAAATCCTCAGAGCCTGGTGCAGAGCCTGGCAGAGTAAGTGCTCTTTAATACGGGCTGAGGGGATCTTAACTACATAAAGGAAGGAAAAATTGATCTAGACTCATTTTTATGTATGAAGAAAATGAAGGCCAGAGAGGTTGAAAGACAGACACCTCTTGGGGTATAAAGTGAGTTAGAAACAGAATAGGGATAGTAACTCACACGTGGCGGTCTTTGCCACACAGTATTTCTCTTCCTCCTCCCCAGGACAAGCACCTTCTTACATCAACTTATTCCTGCCCCAGCACGGCAGGGTCCCACCGCCCCTCCAAAGTCTGCCTCTTGGGCCTGGAGTTTCCTGAGCCCGTGCTCTGCTAGGCCACCGCAAGCTAATGTTTCCTTCCACGTGACCACTCTGTGTGCAGCTAGCTGCCTGTGAGCAGGAGCGCGCTGTGACCACAAGGGAGATCTGAAGCAAGGTCAGGTGTGAGGCTTGTTCAAGCTTGGTCAGAGGCCGTTGGCCAATTGCTTTTCAAATCATACCACCTGCTCCTGCTCCTCTGAGCGTCCCTTTTTAATATGAAACCGTGCCTTCCCCTGTGGATCAGAATTACTCTTCAGGAGTTTGCAAACCAGCCATTTTCATATACAGCTGATTCT